GGGAAGGAGCCAGAGCAGAGCGAGCAGTTAAGGATCAGGGAAGCAGAGGTGGGAATCAAAGCAGGGATGAGGAAGTGCAAAGGGATTGCCGAAGTTTACTGGCTGCCTCTATCCCACCAGCCTGTCCAAGGGAAACCACAGAGTCAGCCAATGAGAGGAGGCTGGAGGGAGAAGAGACAGAGTGGGAGGAGAGGGCTGGCTGGCTGGTGTCCGTGCTAGACGCCACGCACAGAAGGAGACAGGGCTGCCACCAGGGCACACCAGGAATTTGAAGGGAGGGAGGAGATGGTGCAGGGAGAATTGTGCTTCAAGTGCTGTCCCATCAACCCATCACCCCCATGGAAAGGAGCACCCAGCATTTGAGGGGCGAAGCAGTAGATACTTAGAGACGCTTGACACATTTCAACAGCACCACTTTTCCCTCTGAAAAATGGAATTTCAACAAGAAATTGTTGTGGGAAAATGTCATTTTGGGGTAGTTTTTTGATGGGATAGCTCAAAAGGTGATGAGAGAAAAATATGCAGTTTAGTTGCAGTTGTTGAAAATGGAAAAAAAATGAAACTGGGGGATTTTTGCCCCCCCCCCCTTTTTCCCCTTTTGGATACTGAGTGCAACAAAACGAACGATGTCATTCCTTCGGTCTGTGGCATTCATTTGCAAAAGAGGAAAAAAGGGGGAGAAAGGAAAAAATATCACAGATTTTGAAATAAAAAACCGTTGTTTTTTGAAAAGTGGCTCACAGTGAAAATTCTGAATTGAATCAACATGAAAATTTCATTTGGAAAAATTTTCCCATGAAAGAGCGACAGATCTCACCTGGATATTTTTAGTATGAAAATATTCATGGGGAAAAGCCAGGGGCTTCACAGACGAGCTGGTCATTATTTCCTTTGGAAGTGTGGAGGAAATGAGTGTGAGGATCTGTGCTTGTTTTAGCCAGACTGGAGTGGGAGGTGGGGAGGATGCCAGGCAGAAATGGCCCCTGGAAGGGTGCTTCACTCACCATTTCTGCATTTTCTGTCCGGTTTTGTGCTTGAAAACTGCACTAGACATAAAGTTCCCTGAAACCAAAACCAAGTTTGGGAAACAAGACATCTTGGTTCCTTGCTCCAGCATCCCAAGGACACTGCTGCCCTTGACGTCCGATCACCGTCGCACACTAAACATTTTGTTTTCTCCTTTCCGCCATGATCCTAAGTAGCTGGTATACGGGCAGTTTTGCTAAGCACCAAGTCCAGTACATTACAGCCCTTTCATACACAAGGGGCTGTTGGTTTGTAATCCCAAGCTCTGGAGGCCTTACAGACTGGGTTTGTTAGACTTCATCCCGACGTAGGGAGGTGTCGCAACGCAGCACACTCAGGAGAGACATCTTGGAAATAAGGCATACATTTTAACGGTGAGAATAATTAAGCACCAGAACAAGGATTGTGGTGGATTTCCTGCACTGGCAATTATTAAATCAAGACTGGATGTTTTTCTAAAAGCTCTGCTCTCAGAATTATCGTGGGGCTGTTCTCTAGCCTGTGTTATGCAGGAGGTCAGACTTGATGGTCACAACGGTCCCTTCTGGCTTTGGGATCTAGGAATGGGCAGAGCCGACTGTGGATACATTTCAGGGTCTGCCACACAAATGCACCAATCATCTCAAAAACTCATCGCAGCCCAGTGACTCAGACTCGGGACTGGATTTTGCTCTCCCCAGTCCATTCACAGCACTTGACCCAAAGGTGTGCTAACTATGGACGGCACTGCTGCTCCGCGGGAAGGAAGCATGGAGGGAATACAAGTTCGTCTGAGACAGCTGCTCCAGTGCCCTGTAAAATGCAACTGAAACAAAATGACAAGGATTGACACCCCTTCTGCACAGGTGTTAAGTGTCTCCACAAGGTGTGAGGCAAAGAAGAATCTGGTCCAGTGACTCCCAAGGAATCATCACACTGGCCCAGTCTTACCAAGGAATAATCACACTGACACTTTGCTTTGACAGGTGCTCAAAGGAAGCATCTCTCTCATGACAGGTTTGGAGCTCTTTTCCTTCTGCATTGCCTTTCGTTTCTAATCTGCATCGGGCTGAGTCCCTGGGCTTTCCCAGGAGGAGAACTCATCTGCTTGACTGATTTTCATTTCATGGATCCCGAACAAACCATTTCTAACCCAGCCTGGGGCGTGTGCTGAGAGGGCACATTCACACTATGGGAAAACCTCCAGACGGAAAAGTCTGAGCAGGGCTGGCTGAGTGGACCGCTTGTTTTTGGAGGCAGAAGAACGCCGAGTGGGGTAAAGCGTTAATAGTATTACTTATCTGAGTTACAGAAGCACCTAGGGCAGTGGTTCTCAACCTATTTACCACTGTGGGCCGCATATGCAGCTCTCTGGGTGTTATGTGGGCCGCATCCACACAATATATATACCACCAGTATGGCCCTGAGGATGTCACATGAGCCGCAGCTGTGTGCTGATTGGGCCGCAAGCAGCCCATGGGCTGAGAACCACTGACCTAGAGCCGCCAGTGAGATCAGGGCCCCATAATGTGAAACAGACCCTGCCCCAAAGATCTTATGGTCTCTATAGACAAAGACTAGGCACAAGGAAGCTTTATTCTCCTCACAATGCAGCAAGGCCAGTGACTTGCCCACGGTCACACAGGATGTTTTGATTAGAACTGGGACTTGAATGAAGATCTCCCGATTCCTAGCTGAAAGCCTGAATGACAAAACTATGTTTCCTCCCTCTTCAGTCCTTCCTTCGAGGCTATGGATTCCCGAGCTATAGCAGTGGTGGCCAAGCACGGCTTTCTGTGTGTGTCTCGCAGCTGGGCTTGCCTTCATTATGCCCAGGCGTGTATAGATCGCAGGGCCCAGCCTGACCTGACGGGAGCGGCTAAGCAGGAGCATTGCAGGCTGGAATCTGCCCTTTCCGCAGTCCACGCCTCGGTGCCGAAGACCAGTGAAGTTACAATCTGCTCCATGTAATGCAAATAAGCAAGCTGCAGCCCTCAGGTTCTGGGCAAGGTGCCCCTGACCTATCTTGCCCCTGACCTATCTGCATTTTACAAAGGAAGGCCTTGACTACACACCAGAGTAATGCATGTCTCGTTATACAGGTCCAGCACCACGAGTGAGTTGCAGGATAAGTCTACAAAAAGAAAAGGAGTACTTGTGGCACCTTAGAGATAAGTCTACATTGCAAAACACACCCCACAGCAGTGAGTCTCAGAGCCAGGGTCCACTGACTCAGGCTCACGCTACGGGGCTAAAAATAGCTGTGTAGACCCTCCCGCTCGGGCTGGAGCCCAGGCTCTGAGACCTGGCAAGGGTGGGTAAGGGATGGAAATGAGGGAAAACCAAATGAAAAATAAGGCACGACACTTAGCTTTAAGGGAAACACTTCCCTGTGCATAGCATGTATTTTTCTCTTAAGTGCACATTTCTACTGCTCTCAAGTGTACAGCGCAATTATCATCAGCTTCAATGTAATGTTTCAAAGGGCCAAGGGACGTCCCTTGAAATACGGGACAGGTGGCCACCCTAGGGCCTCAGAGCTGGCACGCCAGGCCGAGCAGGAATATCTACACTGCTATTTTAGTGTGAGCCCCACGAGTAGGGTTGCCAACTTTCTAATCACACAAAAGGGCACACCCTTGCCCTGCCCCTGTCCCAAGGCCTGCCCTTGCCCCACCCCTTCTCTGGCTGGGGGTGCGGGCTCTGGGGTGGGGCCAGAAATGAGGAGTTCAGGGTGCAGGAGGGGGGCTCTGGGCTAGGGCAGGAGGTTGGGGTGCAGGCTCTGGGGTAGGGCCAGGGATGAGGGGTCTGGGGTGTAGGAGGGGGTTCCTGGCAGGGGCTGAGGGGTTCAGAGTGTGGGAGGGGGCTCCAAGCTGAGGCAGGGGGTTGGGGTTGTGGAGGTGTGCAGGGTGCAGGCTCCAGGAGGGAGTTTGGGTACAGGAGGGGGCTCAGGACTGGGGCAGGGGATTGCGGTGTGGGAGGGGTTGTGGGGAGCGGGATCCGGGTGGCGCTTACCTCGGTGGGCTCCGGAAGCCGTGACATGTCCCTCAGCTACTATGTATAGGGAAAGCCAGGCACCGCCCCTGAAGCGCCCATTGGCCAATGGGAGCTGTGGAGCCGACGCTTGGGGTGGGGGCAGCGCATGGAGGTAGGGTAGGGAGCCTGCCAGCCCTGCTGAGGGCAGCCAACCAGACTTTTAACGGCCCAGTCAGCAGGGCTGACCGGAGCTGCCAGGGTCCTTTTTTGACTGGGCTTTCTGGTCAAAAACTGGACACCTAGCAACCCTACCCATGAGCCTGAGTCAGCTGACCCAGGCTCTGAGAGGTGCTGCTGTGGATTTTATTTGCAAAGTAGACGTACCCTCAGTTCTCCTAGGTACATCCCGAATGGGATGGGGAACTGCTAAGGCGGCCACTTGTCTGGTTTTATACCTGACATTCCCCTTTTTGGCTGGTTTGTTCCCAGACCAGTAATGGGACAAAATCAGCTGTGGTTTTGTCCGGTATCCGACAGGGGGCGCCCTTTGGAAGAGTGCACCGCTCCGACCCTACCAGCATGACCTCACACTGCATGCGTGTGAGATCATGCTGTCGGGGGCTGAGTCACACGGGCGGAGGCAGGCCCACACTGTTCCCAGAAGGGCTGGAATGTCTGAGATGCCAGGAACTCATGACTGGCCACCTTAGGAGTAACTATACCAGTGTAAGGCACCTTCGTACCAGTATAACCGCACCCCCCTGGGGGCTGTAGTGGTAGAATTGCTTTGGTAAAAAATAAATAAACAAACAAATAAAACATGCCTCTAACCTACATGGTTGTACCAGGACAACAGCTGCTTAGACCAGGTCTCACCCTTTGCCCCATGGCATCCGCACACATTCCCCGGCAGTGAGTCACTGAGGAATGGCTGGTTCCAGGTTGCAATGCCACGTATCTGGGAAGAGGGAGGCGTGTCTGATGCTTCCCTGTGCAGTGAGAACCTGTTTGAGGGCAGGGTTCCTGAGGGGAAGGACGCAGAGAGATTTTCTTCCCAGCTTCGTCGCCTTCTGAACCTCCCATTCCAGGCCGGCCCGGTGGCGTCACCTTCAAACAGGCCTGGTGCTCCTGGTCTATTGTTTACCAGCCTCTTTTCTCTCAGAGGGACAGAAGAAACCTTCCCCACTCCTGTGTGAAATCGACTAAGGTGGAAACAACCATGCATCTAAAGGTGAGTAGCTTCAGAGATCTTTGCAAATTATACTGCCATTCCCACGCCCCTAAAATTCAGCTCCAAAGGGGATGGGGTAAGTGTTTATGAATAAGAGTGTCTCCCCTTCCCACATTTCCACCTTTTCTCCCTCCCCTCTGCTGAGGCTGTGTGTGGTCCCCTTCCCCCAGTCCAGAATCCCCTGTTCCTCCCCTCCCCGCAATATCGGGGCTCTGTCTTTGCCCCCATTCCCCCCTTTCCTCTCACCCCCCCCCCTTTCCTCTTCCACCCATTCCAGGGTCCCCAGTTCTCTCCCCTATGTCAGGGGCTCTGTGTGTGTCCCCCTATCTCTCATATTCTCCTCCGCTCAGTCCTGGGCCCTCCATTCTCTCCCCCATGCCAGAGGCTCTATTAATCATCCAACCTTAAAAGTGTGCACTGGAGAGTGAAGCTGCCCCTAGGGAAGATCGGAAAGAGGGAAACTCCCTTGACTTTGCAGGCCAGAGCTTTCTCTTTGGGGAATCACTATCGGCAGAGGTCAGGGCCCATGGAGTGAGCATCTGTGTCAGGTAGCAGGTGTAAGCAGGGGAAGGCCCATCAGGCAGTTACTAAAAGCCAGGGTCTGACCCCCTCAGTTAAGAGGAGCAGCACTTAGCCCCGGAGCAGCCCACTGACTGTCCTGAGATAGGGTGCTACTCAGTGTACGGGAGGGGATCAGAGGCTGGCACTAGGTGGAGACTTATGCCTTTTTATGGTGTTTAGTGCCAACTGTCCCTGCAAAGGGGATAGTTACGTTCTGACCTAAGACAGCCTTAGCCTTTCCCCTGGGATTTTTCATTCTTCTGCACTTTTTATCCTCAACTATGGTATCATTTGGCCATTGCTGTAGTGCCCTGATCCACCCGCCCAAGAAATGAATGGCAACGAGCGATTCTGCTGCATTTCACCCCAAAGGTGAGGCGGCAAAGGGAGCCCTGTACAGATTTGTGATCTTTTGTGCCTTTTGTGATCTGTCAGCATGGAAGATCTCACATTCATTCCGGATATTATCTTTGTGTGTTGAACATCTGTCACGTGTCAATTTCATCCCAGTTCTGTGACCAGTCCCTGTCCCCCCCGGGCTAAGGGAGAGCAGATTGCTGGGTTCCCGGGGTGGCTGGGTTGCGAACGATTGCTCTGTTAATTCTAATGCTAGCAGAGCTCAAACACGACAGGAATGAGAAGTGGAGATGTGTGGTTTTGTTTGCAGCTTTTACACCAGCACACACCACTCTCTGTTGCTCACCTGCCTACCTCTGAGTGCGAATAGGCAGTTCACAGGATCGGTATGTATGTGAAAGAGCGCACAGGGTGTGAAACAGAGCACAGAGTAAATGGCGTGGGTGTGAATTAGAACACTGGGTGAAATGTGTGGAGGAGAGTGTACATAGAACAACACAGCAAAAGCAAACAATCATTCTTTAAAGTTGGGGTTTTCAGAGGGGCCGTAGGTGACTCGGTCACCCAACTTCCACTGACGTTCAACAGGATTTGGGTGCCTGACTCCCTTAGGCTGCTTTGAAACTTCAGCCTAAACCGTTGGCTCCTAGGAACTATGTCTCCAGAGGGATCCCCTCACACACAGCTGCTGGATCCTGGCTGCCTCAGCTGCAAAATAAGATCATTAGCGATCAGCTGGTGAAACAATGCAGCCTAGTGACTTAGGAAATCACCCCCTCCCCCCCCGCAAAGGAGCAATCACTGCATGGAGCTGGGGCTTGCTGGTTGCTTGTGTAGTTATGGATGGGGGCTTATGAAAAAACAGTTAAAGTAGCTACCAAACACCAGGGCTGTCTCTCTGGGTTGATGGAGCTGTGCCCCGGTGGCAGCTTTGTTTCCTGTGTCCTGCAGTTCGAAATGCGTAGAATAAGCTAACTGCTCTGCTGGAGCCAGCTGCCCTTTGCGGGGAGTCTTCAGGATGCTGTGCTCTGATCTGAAAGGCGGAACTGCCAGCAGTGCATCCCTTCCCCCAGCGTGGCCCAGGGCTTGGTGCAGGCGTGGTGATGGTTACAAGCCAAAATCCTGGCCTAAGCTGCGAGCCCACCACTCCCTAGGCCCCAGAGTGAGGCAGCCAGGTATAGTAATGCCCAACGCTTCGCCGATCAGACAGATGACTCAGCAAATGCTGCACAAACCTGATTCATAAATGAAGCGGGTGATCCAGCCCATTACGCAGCCTTCTTGAGCAATGAAATGAGGCCCAAGTGGGCAAAGCCCAGGGGAATTCACCAGCAGGCGTGTGCAGCCCAGCTGATGAAGTGTGCAAGATCAGAACTAAAGCAGTTCAGTGAATTCAGCCAACGTGACCCTCTGGGCTCAGGGAGTGGGGTGGGAAACCTCCCCTGCTAACGGAAGCAGACTGCACAGGGCTGGGCTGCTGCCCAGTTGGCTAAGCAGGCAGGCAGATCCAAGGAAGACCTAGCGCGCTTCTTTCTCAGTGAAGTGGGCACAGAAAGCACTGACGGGCCCAGCTCAGCTCTGCAGCCATGGATCTCACTGCAAAGGCCAGCTGAGAAAACAGCCACGTCTTTCTGCGGCAGGGACACGTGCCAGCTTCAGAATCTGACGACTTGCCCTCAAGGACCAGCTCAGCCAGAGAAGGCTGGGAATTACCGACAGGGCTCTTGTCCTCTCCACAAGCATGTGACTCCTGCTACTGTCAATGGGCAGCTTGTCCAGAAGAGAACAGAGCCCTGTGGAGATCCTGCACCGAGAGGAAGGAAGATGGCATGCACTCCTCCCTCAGCTTCCTGAGCAGTGCAGGGACTGTGGCTAATACCCTCTTCATAATACCTTGCTCTGCAGAGCCCTGGCACCCGGAGCTCTCAAAGGAGGGCAGGATCAACAGCCCCCGGAGACACGTGGCATGGAAGGGACTTGCCCAAGGTTCCCCAGCAGGCCACTGGCAAAGCCAGGACTAGAACCCACATCTCCTGAGACCTAGTCCCCTCGCTACTGGACCACCCGGCTTCTTATTGGAGGGGCAACTTGCAACTAGCCCAGGTAGGGGAGGATGCACGGACCCTCCCTCCCTTTAATCCCCCTACTGCAGCCCTTGAACCACTACAAGTTACATTCTCAATATCCCTTGGGCACTAGCAAAACCGAGCGTTCATTTGCCTCCTACCCCCCCCCACACACCTGTAAACCCTGAAGTGCCCAATCCTGCTCCAATAGACGTCAATGCAAAACTCACATTGGCTTAAACAGAGGGCAGGACCGGACCCAGAGGGCAGGGTTAGAGAAATTGATGCAACTGCCCAGCCAGCTGCAACCTGTTCCCACTCCAGGAAATACACTTTGGACATGCAAATTCCATTCAGAGCCAGAGCAGCCCAAGGCACTGCAATAAGGAAATGCCCTGCAGCAACTCCCCCCTGAGTGCTATCTGATCTGCTCTCTGGGCCTGTATTAAAGGAGGAAACCCCCTTCTGTGCTCAGGCAAAGGGGCCTCTCTGGAGACTCAGCACGTCCCCCAACCTGCCTTAAAGATTCACTGCAGCTACTCTGAAACAAAAGGCTGAGACACTCATTTAGCTAAGGAAAATCCCGCTCCCGAGCACAGCTCATCTGCCCCCCTTTATTGCTACTTGTGCCATTTGCACTGGAAAGGGCACATTGATCCAGGTGGTGGGGTCGCACAAGCTCTCGTACGGCTGATAGTCACCACACACAGTGCCTGGCCCACGTGGGGATCTTTGCCTAACCGCACCCCTGACACTTGTTTAAGGTTTACGTAAAATGGGTTCATCCCCCCTCCCCCCGGCTCCCCCAATTACTTTTTATTTTGGTCAGCACCTTGACGTGGTCAGGTCCCTGGGGGACCAGAAGCACCCGCCCCCCCTTCCCGCGAGGGTTCTCTCCCAGCCGACACTGCCCGGGCCTGTAACTTGCCAAGTCGGGTCAGATCGGCCAGAGCCGTGAGGAGCTTCCGGAGACAAACCTACCACCAGGCGAAACCTGCCTGGTTTCATTAGGCAAATGAAATGCCATGAGGCCCATTGGAAAGGTCAGGGAAACTGAAAAAAATCATGGCAGCCAGCCAGCCACCACGAGTTAGCTACCGTGTGTAAAGCCACCCCCACGTCTGCCATGGGGACCGAGCCCAGAGCAGGAGTACCCGGCCAGCTGTCAGCGTGGCCCAAGGTTGGGAGCAGGCGCCTCTAGGTTCTGCACGGGGCCCGGGCTATTAAATGTGTTTAACAATGATCTGAGGAGGACTACAGGCCACATTTGCAGATGGCAGCGTGGGGGCAAAGAACACCCACTTCTCTCTCTGCCCGGTCAGAAGAGCATGCCCCATCTTAGCAGAGACCTGGCCAAGGCAACCCACTCCTTCCTGCCCCTCCAGGCCTCTTCACTGCAGCTCAGTAGGGGTAACACTTTCAAAAGTGCCTAAGTGGCTTAGGAGCAATAGCCCCCATTACTTAGGTACTGAACTCACTCAGCACTATGGCCGAGCTCCTCCAAGACTCCTAAACAGCGAGGAATGGAAAGCTCCTTCAAAGGTGGTACAATAGACACCTCCTATCTGCTCAGCCCCCCAGATCCCTGGGAGCTTCTCCAAGCGAAGTCACTTTCCCCGTGTTTGTTCCACAGGTGGAAGTGGCTGCCCAAATTCTGCTGGGCTTTGCCTTTTGTCAGATGTTCGGTACCCACATTCCCTGCCGGGAGCCCTCCGATGCAGAGCTGGAATCCATGCTCAGCCGCTTTCTTGCTCCTGGAGTCAGCTTATTGGCTCAAATGGAGGATGTTTTACCTGACCAGGACCTGAAGTCGTGCCCTGTGAATGTCAGCCAGACCTCGTCCCGCCTCCAGGACAGGAGCGCCTCCCCATGGTCATACAGGTAAGCCGCAGACAGAGTGAAGGGCATCTCAGCAAAGGTCACCTTTGGGTTCAGGCACTGCCACTGGGATCCAGAGCTTGAAACCCCTCCCCCTCTTCCCCCCCACAATCCCCCCCATCTCTCTCAGGTGTGGAGCTGCATTTCCTGAGTCAAACTACATCCTCCTCATCCCCGGGAGATAGCGGATGGCTGGTTCTGCAGGGTTAATTATTACTCTCCTGGGCACTTCTAGAACGTGTCCCTCTTTTGACACATGCCAGGGGCACTCTCCACTCCACAGTCAGCCACCCCGCAGAGAAGGAAACAAACCAACACCTCTGAGCCCGGCCAGCAGCCACGTCCCCCTCGCTGGAGGCTCCACCCAGCAGCAGCTGGCTCAGGCTCACAGGGGCATTTTCTTATCTCAGATAGTTCTGAAAATGGCAGCGGGGATAGAACTGCCATGCACCGCAGGCACTAAGCTAGTTATGGCTGGTTAGTGACACTGTGGCATTTTGCCCCACTCTGTGCCTCAGTTTCCCCTCCTGTGAGCTCAATGTAACGCTGCCCAGCCGCCACCAATCAGCTCCTGAATGTTGGTGCAACACCTCATAGGTGCGGGAGGAGTAGCGTTATTAACCCTTTCCGAACAGCTCAGCGAACCCCTAGCTGGAGTGCATTGGCCAGCACTCAATTTTATTAGGTGACCTCATTAATCCTCTTTCTTCCAACAGGGTCAACGAAGACCCCCGCCGGTACCCCCGGAGGGTGCTGGAAGCCTACTGCTTGTGTGAGGGCTGCCTGGTAGACAGGCAGGAGGACAGGTCTGTGCAGAGTGAGCCCTTTTACCAGGAGGTGCCCGTTCTGCAGAAATCCGGCCAGTGTGAGGCAGGCCAGTACGTTTACCAGCCCAGCCGCCTGCAAGTCGCTCAGTTTTGCATTTGCACGTTCCCTTGAGACAGGCAAAATGCTTTCACCTGTGGCCACCACCCTGCAGCCTGCCTCAGTGCCCCTGCCAACACAACACTGCCGCTGTCATTCGGCCGGGGAGCGGAATGAATGCCGGAGCCTCGTGAACCAGTGCTGGCAAGGGTACTGGCCCTGGACAAAGACAACAGCCATCTCATGGAGACCCACGTAACGGCCAGCACACTCACCATGCCCGCCGCTACTGTCATTCACCAGTGGCACAGTCTACAGAGGACTTTCCAATGGCCAGTCCCATTGCTAACCTGGTTTCCTCCTTGGGGGGGATCTAGGCCACAGCCAGGTGGGACTGGCTGTTTTTCAGCTTTGCCAAGTGCTGCTAAGGCAGAGAGGACCTGCAGCCCATGGAGTTCCCCAGGGCAGCTTGCAGCTAACCCCATTTATAATACAGGCTGAGAGAGGTCCAGCCCACAAGGTGACAGGCCCACGTCAGAATGCTCCATCTTGATCCAGGGAGCGGATTCTCGCTCAAGAAGGGGCTTCACGTGCTGTGACCTGTCGTCTCTGTGAGCTGCACCTCCACGTTAAACAGAAGAGAACTGCAGTCTGCTTTCTTGGAAGGGCACAGCCCTCGAGCTCTGGGCAGGCTGCCCATGTGGTCCTTGGCTAGGCAATGGTTGAGTGCCCCGTTCATGGTCACACACAGCTTCAGAGACCACAAAGAGCAACCTGCCCCTCATTCGCTTCTCCAGGGTCCTGCAGAGAGGGGAGTTGCTTTGCTGGGATGGACGCGACCAGCGGATTCCACTCAGGATGATCCTACGGGATGTGCTTGGTCTGCAGCGCTGTTGTCGCCAGAAATGTCTTTGCAGCCTGAGGAGCCAGAGCAGAAGTGGAGCCAGTGGGCTGAGGCGCGTTAGAAGGTTGGCAACTGCCCAGGCCTTGGGAATGCTCAGTTCCTAGTCAGGTGCAATCAGACTATGCAGTCCTGCTGCTCTGTCTTTGGAGGCCTCCAGAAGGCAGGAGGGGGAGGAGGCTTCCTCCCACAGCAGGGGTCCACTGAACTGGGCTGCGAGGCAACATTGCACAGGGAGACCGTATGGCTAATCCTCTCCACTAATAAATGTTTCTCCCCTTGCCACGGTGCCTAGCTGTTGGTGGACACAACAGCTTCCGACTGAGTTTGTACCAGGCTGGCTGTACCTATGCTGTGTGTCTGCACCCACCTGCTCAGTGTTTAGCTTATGCTTCCGCAGCTCACCCTTGCCCAAGGCTGAGGCTGGCAGCGGGTTGGAGTCTGGGTACAGGCTACACCACTCTTCCTTTGCCGTGTGCCTAGGGCCTGGCATGACTAGTGCCACTCACTCCCCGCTTCCTGTCCTGCAGGACATCCCAGAATGCACTGCCCCACATGCTGCCGGCACCGCTCTCGGTGCATGTCTCCTGCTGCGGCACTCTGGGGTAGCTGCCCAGGCTCTTCCCACAATGCTCTGGGGCAAACGGATTCTGGCATCGGGCTGGGTGGGAACTCAGAAAAACAGCTTGGGACTGAAGTGGCTGCATGTGCACAACTCAGCCATGCTTGTTGTCCCCAAGACGGACGAGAACTGGTTAAAAACTCTGGTATTTGTGCGGTGGACGGGGCCTTAACTGCTGGTAACAGGCAGGTTGTCCCAGCAGAGACTCAGTTGGTAATGTATTGGGAGAGGGGAGCCATTTAGGAGCAGTGCGGAGCCCTTCCTGGCTCCCCAGCCAAGCCCTCGTGGAGGTTCACAAACCACCTGGGCAAAGTTTCCTCATTTTTCATGTTCCCAGTGCCCCGGCACTTCCAGGCTCCCGCCCGGGCAGCACCAGCAGAAGCGGGGAATTACCAGGAGAATCCCAGCCTGGTTTTCAGGCTTGGGAGGGGGTTAGACCATCATCCAGGTGCATATCCACCTGGTATGTATCCAGTGATGCGGGGTCCAGCCATCACTAAGAACAGGCCGTATCCTATTGCAGACCCAAGAAAATGTGTGGGCTCTAATTGCACAGCAGCTACAAAGCTCGAGACACTGAATCCCCCAGTACGAAGCCTGACCTGCTTTTCATGAGCTCGCTTTCAACTCATCAGTCCTTATTGCCTCACCTCAGATGCAATTTAGTGCCATTGTCCTTTTCACCGGGAGGCTGTGGATGGGGATAACCTGGAGATGGGAGACTCTCCATCACCGGAATGTGATTCCTCTAGGTTTGGATGGAAAGAGCCATTCGCGGGAGGTAGTGGTATTGTACCAAACTACTGCAGCGCTTTCATGTGCCATGGGAAGGCATTTTGTGCATGCTGATAGAATCTCCTTCCTTAGAGGTTTTTAAGGTCAGGCTTGACAAAGCCCTGGCTGGGATGATTTAACTGGGAATTGGTCCTGCTTTGAGCAGGGGGTTGGACTAGATGACCTTCTGGGGTCCCTTCCAAACCTTATATTCTATGATTCTATGATCAGCGCTGTTGGGGGAGCTCACAGGCTCCTAAAGGCTGCCCTCTACAGAGAGAAGGCTGCTGTCATGCAATACACTCACCGCCTCCTCCTGGTTGCTCCGGGGATTAGCACTTTCCAGGTCTGATGCCCCCTTCTGCCACTGGTTGCATTCCCTGCTGCCTCCCTCTCACTCTCAGAGACTCCGGGTGCTCTCCCTTCATGGCTTGGCCCTCCAGCCAAGTCACTAGGTGTTTTCCCCCTTCCAGGGTATTGGTCTTTCCGTACAAACTGTCTTCAGCAATCTTCCCATTTACTGCCCAGATGGTGCCACGTCCCCGGTGATGAGTAGGGGAATCCAGGCCCTCCCTCTACTCCAGGTTCCAGTTCTGGGACCCTCTACTCTGCAGCCAAGGTCTGCACCATCTTCCTGAGCCTTTTCCTACACCCTCTGCCCTAGGATTCCTTCCTTCCCTCTCTGATATCCAGAGAGCAGCAACAGGTGCCTCACTGCAGCCCCCTTCTGCTACCAGCTTCCTGGCTTTATCCTGCCCCACCTGTTCTTTCTCAGCGGGGCACTGTCATCATTCAGGGGATTAAGTGGGCCACCCAATTCCCCTCAGCTGGGGCCCTGCTGGTGAATTGGCTCCTTCTCAGCTTCATTAACCCCGTCCAGGCTGGTGTGGGGTGCGCACCCCAGCGGAGTAGCACACTCGCTTCCCCAGGGATGATAAAGCAGCAGGCAGCCGGCATGGTAGCAGAGCAGTCCCTTGACAAATGCACGGCTTGGTTCACAGACACAGCCACCTCTTTGTACCAAGAGCTTCATCTCCAAATTGAAAAGACAGTGAGATTCCCCCGCCCTTTATAACATGAAGTATGCTGTGACAGGTCTGTGCAGAGTGAGGACCCCAGAAGCCCTTTCCTAAGGGGGCATGCACATTGGTTCAATCCCCGCGGAGCATTCTGCTTTCTGTCCTGTGTAGCTTGGATGAGGGGAACCAGCTTGGCAGCTTCCACACACCTTCCTTCCACCCGTTTCACTGCTGCTCCTCACACCCTGCCGCGGTGCCAGCAGCTACGTAGCCATCGGTTAGTGGGAGCCTCCCACCTCGGCTCCATTTTGTTGTGCCAACCGGGCAACTATGGGGTTTGAATTATGAGCCTCTAAGCCTCAGGGTGTTTTGTGCTGATGCCCAGAAGAAACCCTTCCACCAGCTTCACCAGGGTGAGAATCTCAGGCTGTGGTGCTGACCCCGCCCTAGGTGCAGCCCAGTTCCCTCTGGCAGCGCGAGTTCCCTGTGCCCGCTGAGTATTGGGGCACAGAAGTGAGGGAAGTGCAAATGCACAGGGCTAACATTGAAGAATCCAGCCCTAAGTGCCTTTCCCCAGGCCAGAGCCAGCATTAGAACCCAGAACTTCCTGCGGGGCTTGTCCCAGGGCACTAGGCCACATCTCCCTCCAAGGGGTGACCTCTCCCAGTGTTATACGACACAACGCAGGATTGCAAAGGCATGCTGGGCCGTGACTCACTGGGGTTCTGTTGTGAGTCAACGCAGCTGAGAGGCCAGCGTCCTGAGTTACTGCACATCACAACGGAGCAGGTGTGTGGGTGAGTGAATCCAGACAATTCAGCTCACTCCACGGGTGCTGTTAGGTCACAGTCATTCCTCCCCTTGGGGTCAGGTGCAGGCCAGTTCCCTATGGATATTCTCCAGTGCTTTCTCTCTTTGGAGAGCATTCCACAGCCTGACGGATCTCACCACAGCTAATAAAGCCATTCAGCCCTAATTGTTGTTTCCCTTTATGGCGAATGATCATTTGCCACAGGTAAAAATCTCTTCTGTTCCCTGAGCCAATCCCCAGGGGAGGGCGGAGAGCAGCTCCGGGCCCTGGCCTAAATAAACACTATTAACCATCTCACACGGATCCAGTTACCAGCAGGAAGCCCACGAGCAGAGGAGAGTTTCCTGCTGCCCAGGTCGCCCCATGTGGCAGGACGTATTTGATAAAGAGTCACATTATCACCTGTCAGGGTGGTTTGTTCTAGGGCAGCAGGAGGCAGTTCCAAAGGGATCCCCTCGTCCCTGTAGCTCGCAGTCCCATCCAGGACAGCCACTTTCTGGGTAAGCCCCCCATCGCCCCAGCTCCAAGACTGGCCAGTGGGTTGCAGTGGTAGCACTGGTTTATGGGTCTATTGATCTGGGAAGCCCGGTCTCCAGGCCACATTTACCACCCTCCTGAAATGGAACGGCATCTGACCGGACTCGGCTCCGGGAGTGCTCCAGGGGCCACTCGCACAGCCTGCTCAGAGAGCTCCCAGCTAGCCAGGCAGAATCTGCAAGCAGCAGCCACAAACTGGGGCCAGAGAGCAGAGCGGAGAGGCCCCCAGTGAGCACCTCCTGCCCACAACTCTCCAGGGTGCAAACGTGGGGGCTGGTAGCAAGAGCTTCCTGGCTGCTCCCAGCTCTCAGTATATGGATGAGAACCCAGGCAGGGCTCTAGAAAACCAAGAAAAACACCTTGCATTGCTCACAGAAGCACATGGGAAGCCAGGCTCCAGAGCACAGGTGCCAGAACCCACCTAAGCAAAGGAGCAGCTGTACTGTGGCCTGACTGGAGTTCCCAGGTGGGAGCTGTTAGGGCTACCCTATCTCCTGCAGGCTCAGGGGGTGACAGACCTGCCCCAGGGCCCTGGTCTGCTCTGATCACAAGGCCCCCAGGTGGCAGCTATCGCCCTCCATGGATTGAGTTATTTGTATTCATTCCCATCACACACCCGCCTCCTGCCCTGTGAAGGACTGAGAGAGGCAGTCAATTAGCCCTGCTCCCAGCTGCGGTGGTGTCAGAGATCATTAACTGAGGTCAGGCCCCGGCACGACAGGGCCAGGCTCAGATGGAATCACTGTATAAATTACAATATTGAGCAGCCAATGGTGTGACGCTCCCTGGGTGGCTGCTGGGCAGGGTTGGCTTTGAAGGCTGAGCTGGGGAGCTGGCAAACCCTGAAAGCCAAGCCCCAGCTGTCTCAACAGCTGGGAGCTCCTTCTCTGGTGGACTCAGCGCTGGTGAAAGATGTGATTGATCCACAGAGCAGGTAGCTAAGGCAGGGGCAGGTGGGCTCACACACCTCACTCTCAGTCCAGCCTGGAAAAGACCAGCTCCCGCTAGCTTAGGCCTACTTGACAGGTGCCTTAGTGAGCCCTTGGTCAGTGAGACAGGCAGGTACCAGGGGTACTGAAAGAAGTGGGATGCTCTTGGTCAGACCCCGCTGGAGTCTCCAAGAGCAGGCAGCGCTCCCAGGTCACCCCCTGACGTGCAAGCCTCGTGGATCCAGGACTAGCAGCAGGAGGCTCCCTGCCATACCCTCCAGCTCTTTCCCCCAGAGTCGCACCTACCTTGCTCATCTACAATCCCAGGCTCAGCCAGGCTGGGAGACGGCAGACACCACCCTGTTCTCATCAGGGGGAAGTCTGCGTGGTACTGCCTGCAGAGCCAAACTACTGCCCAGCACCCCAGAAATGGCAGGACAGGGCACCTCTCACTGCTGGTGTTTATCAGGGTTCATACCAGGCAGCTCTGGAGAGGCTGGTACATCAGGTGCCAGTCTCAGTGAGCCACAGCTGGCCTGCCAGTTGCTGCTGTGAGTGCAGAGGCAGCATGGGAAGCGGTG